ATTATGTTTTCGAGAAAAACAAATCGAAAATCAACAAACGAAAATATATTTCATCGTCTTTTAATATCGTCTGACCCCCTAATAACGTTACTAAGAACGGCTACTTAGGAGAAATACAAAATTTGTAAAATATGAGGAATTATTATAGGAAAAAATTTTAAAATTTAAATTATGTTTATTTATTTCTTAAAGTGTGCTGAGTATGTGTATAATATGTATTTATTTACAATAAAAAAGTTATTGAATTATTTTCGCCATCATTTCACCGCGAACATTTAAAAAAGGCATTTAAAAAATAAAGACCTTTATTTTTTAATTAAAGTATAGTTAATTATGCCTATTAAGTCTTATTTAACACAGTTAAAAATAGAAAAATAAATATTTCATGCAATAAAAAAGTTTGATTTTTTCCTTAATTGATGCTTTAATTAGGACCACCTAAAACGCATTTAAAAATTAAAATTCGTTATATTTTTCAATTAAAATAAAGTTAATTATACAGGTACCTAATAAGTCTTATTTAACAAATAAAAAAATAAATATTTTTTTGCAATAAAAAAATTATGGGGTTATTATAATAGATATTTATTTATTATTTATTATTATTATACATTATAATGCAGTAAAAAAGAAAAAAAATGGATATTTATTTGTTATAAAAAAAGTTTGTGAATTATTTCTATAAAACAGTGCTTTTTGATAATCTAAAAACGCATTTAAAAAATAAAAACCTTTAAAATTAAAATATGGTTTATTATACGTAATAACTCATTTAACACATTATAAATAAAAAATTAATATTTACAAAAAAAAATACAAAACAGTGCTTTTTGACGTGCGTTGCAGCACAAAAACAGAACAGTAAATTAAAGTTGTCTTAAAAAGTGTGTAAATTCAAAAAATGCAAAAATATACTAAAAATAAGAATTTTAGTGTCGTTCCAGGAAAAACCGAATACCCTGTATAAATAAAAACATAATATAAAAAAAATACTGCATCAAGTTAAAGGGGCCGACATTATAGGGGATCACCCTGCAGATACTAAAATTTTTACAAATATATTTGCAAAGTATATATGTCTTAAAAAGTGTGTAAATTCAAAAAATGCAAAAAAATACTGAAAATAAGAAATTTAGTGTCTTTCCAGGAAAAACCGAATACCCTGTATAAATAAAAACATAATATAAAAAAAAATACTGCATCAAGTTAAAGGGGGCGACATTATAGGGGATCACCCTGCAGATACTAATTTGTTTACAAATATATTTGCAAAGTACATATGTCTTAAAAAGTGTGTAAACTCATAAATGCAAAAAATACTGAAAATAAGAAATTTAGTGTCGTTCCAGGAAAAACCGAATACCCTATATAAATAAAAACATAAAATAAAAAAAATACTGCATCAAGTTAAAGGGGCGACATTATAGGGGATCACCCTGCAGATACTAAAATTTTTACAAATATATTTGCAAAGTATATATGTCTTAAAAAGTGTGTAAATTCAAAAAATGCAAAAAAATACTGAAAATAAGAAATTTAGTGTCGTTCCAGGAAAAACCGAATACCCTGTACTTAAAAAATTTCTTTTTTTTTATACGTAGGAGAAAAGTATTTTTTACTCCCTACATAACCACGCTTTTAAATTTTTTGGGACACAAGTTGAAGGGGAGCGACATTATAGGGGATCACCCTGTACATACCATTTCTTTGAGTAAATTAAAGATTAAATATTTTTTTTCAAATGTAGACAGTTGCCAACAGGTAAAAATAGCCAAGTAAAATTATTATTTTTTATCATAACAGCTATTATTTTTTTCATTTTAAAGTACAAGTTGGTAGGTAATATTAATAAAATTGTTTTATACTGCTAGGTTTAAGATAGGATCTATCGTCCCAATTATCACATAAGGCCGTATCTCAAATTTAACAATTTTACAAAGCATTTTAAAGATTAAAAGTTTTTAGCTAATTTAAATAAAGTATATTTAAAAAAAAAATGTCCCACTAGGTATTACATTAAATGTAATACATATTAGCACATTTTTTTATTTGGAAAAATACGGTAGTGGATAGAACTTGCATAACTAAGAAGAAAAGTTAATATGAATTTATATGCTTTAAAATTTTTGTTTTAAACATTTAAAAAAAATTATCAACCGACGAAAAATATTTATTTAAAAAAGTGTCGGACTCGATAATTATTTCTTATAAGGTCTACAAACTTTATTATGTTGTCCACTTTGATAAATACCCTTATTAATTCTATAAAAATATTAATTTTAACATTTTTATGACGAGAGAAAAAATTATATTAAAAAATACGTATGTAAGTAGGTACTATTTTTTTAAATTCGTAAAGTTTGACATTTTATTTTTTAGTACCTTTTGTAGATTTATTACAGTTTATACATTTAGCCACAGCGCAATTTGAGATTATAACCCAACACATAAAATAACAAAAACAAAATAAAAATATTAAATTTGGATGTCTTACACTTAAAATAATAATTATTATAATTTTAATTTGGAAATAATATAATAATAATACACGCAATATTCTCTCCACTCAAAAAATATTAAATTATTATTATTATTATTAAAACATTACCAAACATAATTTAACATAATAATATTATTAAACAATGCAAGTTTAATAACTAGTTTCGAACGTCGAATGTGCCGTACTTATGCTTGGCGAACGAATCGTGGTTACTAAGTGTTGCACATAACAGAATATTTACTTTAAGCGTTTCGAATTAAAAAAGGTCCGCATGAGCAACGGAGAGAGATAACTAGACTAAATCTATTTTTAGACTCGAAAATCTGGCAACCCTGTCGGAAGTGTCTACGATGCAATTGTCTCTATATATGATGGAAGTGACTAAGTCACGGCCATAGTACACAAATATTTATTTGCGAAATCCTTTCCCCTCTCTAGAGATTCGGATTACGTAGGTTCCCCTTCACTTATATATAGTTTTAAAATGCTTGTATAAGCCTTCGTTCATGTGGAAGTTAGGACGCCCTGTTTATACTACGGAAGTGACAACTTAACAGGCATCGATATATATATATATATTTATTATAATCAGAATTCTCCAACATTCAATTCGCAATAAAATCGTAATTTTAAACAACATTGTTTTAATAAAATCTTTCTGATTATTAAAAAATGTAAAGGGTGTTTCAATCAAAAGTTGACGTAACTTGGTTACTTCCGGATTAATGCAAATAATAGCATAAGTGGTTATACTTACCTCATAAAAATTTCAAATCTATACATTCCATAAGAAAAAGATTATAGGCTGGTGCGGTTCTTGAAAAACACACGGTATAAACATATATATAACATATGGTTTTAAAGCCAAAGAATCAAGCTTTTTAATGAGCTATAAAGGGCTATACAAATCATTTTTTACGACCATTATCGTACATGTTTCCATAATACTAAGTGACTTTTTAAATACACATTGACAAGTTGTGACTTTAATGCGCTTTAGTCACGGGCTGAAGTTAGCAACAGGTTTTTAGTCACGGGCTGAAGTTAGTTTTAAGTTAGTTGACAGTTGTCAAATGTCATACAATCGTTAAAATAAAGTGTCCTTGTAAAATAATACTAAATGTACAAATTATTTTATTACCTCAATAACAAAAATACAAAAGTTAATACTTTTATTTACATATTTTCTCAACGCCAATATTTAAAAAGTTCATATAAACATTGTTTTAATTTTGCCGTCAGCAAACTGGATTTACTTAATTTCGGGTGAAGAATACACCGTGGAGTGCCATTAAAACATTTTCCTTACTTTCACTGTGAAAAACTGCTTCTAAACGGTCCATTTTGAATGCAGATTTCCAAGTTGGTTACTTTATTGGTTTATAGATGTCACTCTATTCAAATATTTTATTTAAATCATTTTTATAAACTCATTTAATTAAGTACTCGCTCGTAAGCTCGCTCTTAAATAAATTAATTCGGGTCTAAAATAGCGTTTATTAAACTTGATACATAATATACTATTTTTTTCGCTCGTCAAAGAATAACTAGATGTGCAACAAATGTCACAACACATAACATAGCCTCACTTTTATTAATTAAATTAAAAAGAGACGAAACACGCGAAACAGCAAGAATAAAAGAGATAGAAAATACAAAACCGACAAGTTTTCACAAAATACAAACTTAGTTTTGTCCTTTAGCAGGTGTTATCAGTTTTTCCCGATATTTTCTAAAAAAACCCTTAATTTGGTATTTACCACTATAATAACCTTTATCCGAAATCGGCAGTAAAGTAAAAGAACTTTCCTGCCGATTTAATACGAGTATTGTATGCAACCCAGTATACATTTTAAAATGTGTCTACTGCTCCTCAGCAGCAACTAAATAATATTTAAAAAAGCACCGTCGCAGATGTCGATTGGACCCTTTTATAAAATGTTGTTTAATAATAATAATAAGTTAATTTTATTAATTAAATTAAAAAATCGCTACAGCGGGCAATATATATCCGTCGCAACAAACAGTATACCTAGACACTTCCTACATTCAAATGACATTTGATTTAATCATCAATATAAATTAAATGTGATTTCGGATAAAATTTAATAAGCACCTCGGCATTTTTACATTCCTGATAAAAAATACTACTTTACTGCCTTGATACATAAATAACTATATTTTTAAACTTGAAAATGCATTTATTTCTAGAAAATATAAATAATAATGATTACACTTGTATCCTTGTTTTTTCCTTTCGAGTGAATTATTCTCTTTGTCACCGAGTGTACTAAACCGAACGTGTGCACTGCACACTGTGCAGCCATAACAGAATTTAATAAACATAAAAAAGTCATTAAAGTCGAAAATTAGTTCGTATATTCCAACCAATAACCCAATGATTTACTGTTGTTCACTCGTAAATACCAATATTTGTTCTAAACTTAATTACTGTTTTTATGTGGCCTTAAATTAAATTGCTTTTTTTCTTATTTTACAGTGAACTATTGATTGGGAATATGTCTCTGGGTCAAAGCAACATGATGGCGAGTCACCAAGGAAGCATAGACATGGCAGCCTTTCAAGCTGCTTCGAAACTATTCGACCCCAATTGTGGAGTAACTTCGTGTTATTCAGACTACCAAGTTCCCTAATTTTAAGAACAATAATCGTACTATGTATTTGAGCTTTAATGTTGGTTGGATGGTTAGACGGTTTGTCCAAAAAATTAATTTAAAAGATTCCACTTTTATTAAAGAAATTTGTATAACTCAAAGTACTCATTTTCAATGCTAGCAACTCATTAAATAAAAGTTGGGGTCTTCCAAGGTTTTTTTTTGGTGCACCGTGAAAGAAGAAAAAGTACTATGAAAAATAAATGTATTTTATTTTGTAAATTTTGTATATATTGTATAAAACGTGTCCTTAAAATAAATGTTAAAAATCCAAAATATTATGAAGAGCGCATTCTTTACCAAACCAAAAATCCACGTAGTAAGGGGGTATGTCGTTATCTTCTATGGCCTTCTTTAATGTAAATAAGTCAAAGTCCCTTTCGGATATATTTTTTGATTTGTCACTGCTTCTAGTAACAGCCTTAATGGCTGGTTCGAATTTGCCACAAAATAAGCTTTTTTCATAAGGTTTCGTAGAAGGTTTACTATAGTATCTGCAATAAATATTTTTAGTAAATCAATAATTAATATTTTTAAATAAAAGTATACTCTTTGGGTGGGTATGTTTCTTTAATTTTGTAGCATTCTCTTGGTCGTTCTTGATGAATTTTAGAATCTCTGTACATTTGTTCCACTTTTTGCAATTTTTTATTATCAAATCTGTATGGCACACCATCACATTTCACTTGGTAACATTTTTCGTACATTTTTCTTACTTTTTGTACAAAACCTGACCAAGATATAGATTTTATTAGTCTTTCGAGCGCTGATAATTCACTAAAAGTATTATTATTGACAAAATTTAACATGCATTTTTGATCAGTAAAATAAAAAAATTTGATAGACCTAAATTTTAACATATAAGTGAAAAACAAGTATGTGAGCCCCCCAATTTCAACTTATATGATACCAACTAAAGAAAAATTTAAAATTTTTATAAAATTATAAAGTAAAATTAAACTCAAACTTAGATCCTGCTACACGACATTATAATATACAGGGTGGCCCATCTAACACAGTCCAGCAAGGTTTAGGCTTTGTATGTGAAAATAAAAAAACCTAAATTTTTTGTTTATGCACTATCTAGATACGATACATCGTATACTTGGCCCATTAGTAAGTTTGGCACAATTTTAAATAATCCGTAAGTATTTAAATATAAAGTTTTGTTTTAGATTAGACAATTCCTTAAAAAATTACAGGATATTTAGACGTATTTTCATTTTAAGTTTTATTTCTCTTGCAGTAATATTCCAAATATGTATAAAGATGTTTTTATTATTAAAATAAATAATTTTTAGTTAATAGACGTATCATTTTTTAAAATTTTATTGATTTTAAATACAAAATGATAGATTTTTTGAAACATTGCTAAAAGCAGATTAAAATTAAGATAGATACCTACATTTTATTTTTAACGATACTTCTTGCATCGTTTGAAAATAAATATTACTTTGTAATCAATGAACTATGAAATTTTAAGTCTTGTATCTATTAATAAAAAAATATTGGGTTATAGACAGTGGCGCTGAAAATTTGAGCCCTTAATATTAACTCCAAAGCGTATAAAGATTTCCCATATAAAATGCTACGTGCATTTGATTTTTTTTTATATCTATATCTCAGCTGCATTTTATGCTATTGGATTGTCCAAAAAAAAGAATTTACTCGTAATCAAAAGTTCTACAAAAATGCTTTATGTGCCATAGCTGTAATCTGCACCTGTAGGGTGGTACGGGTCAATAAATCTGATTTTAGTGAAAAATTCTCATATTTTTTAAGATATTGCAAAAGTGACTGGATTCATCGAAAAAATGTAAAAATAAAAACTTTTAGGAAATTTAATTTTCTTTAAAAAATATCTTATCAGTTGAATCGCTAAGATTGATATTATTATATTATCATTTATACGGCTGATACCGCGGTAGCTACGCCCCTGGTTATAGAAATAATCTTTATTTAAAAAAATTATTGCGTTATGTCAATATCACATGGTTTTCTTTTATAAGAACATTTATTCTTTAAGTTAGTATCTTTTTTATTTAAGAATACCACTAATTTATTTTTAAAAGAACATATAGTCTAAGATCCCAAGTAAGGTCGACCTTCACCCATCTGCTTACCAGATGAAAATTATATTTTATCAAATAAAATATGTTTCTGAACATAAACCAATAGGGTTGCCATAAAAAATATGATCAAGGCTAGCTATAATAAATAAAAAATTAAAAAAAAATAATTAATTTTTTAAATTTCACCGACTTGCTTGCCAAATGAACGAAATTCCAATGGAAAGCATAAAACATATAGAATATGTAACAGCTAGGTTGCCTACCTTTTTCTGGTCCCTATTACCTGGTTGCTTTGTACAGGGTGATCCCCTATAATGTCGCCCCCCTTTAACTTTTTTATTTTAAGTGTCCCAAAAAATTTAAAAGTGTGGTTATGTAGGAACTAAAAAATACTTTTTTTCTACGTATAAAGAAAATTGGAAAATTGATCAGTATACAGGGAAAACAAAAAGTTTATTTTTTTCAATGGATCACCCTATATATGAATTTATTTTTCGATTCCTTGTAAAATTCTAAGCATATTTCATATATCATACCATATACCTAAATTCAACCGTTTCTGAAATATTTAAATTATTTTTAAGATAATAAGTTGAAATAGTTTGTCTTTCTCTGTCTGAGTACGCCATTTTTACTTATTTAACAACACTTATTGACATAATTTCACTATAGTAATTTATTTTCAATAAAAATTTTGGTATACTGAGGCTTCTTGATTTCTAACAGTTTAAAAAAACATTTAATGATGACATTTCGAATGCGAATATTTCAGAAACGGTTGAATTTAGGTATATGGTTTGTTATATAAATTATGCTCAGAATTTTACAAGGAATCGAAAAATAAATTCATATATACGGTGATCCATTGAAAAAAAATAAACTTTTTGTTTTTCCCTGTATACTGATCAATTTTCCAATTTTCTTTATACGTAGAAAAAAAGTATTTTTTAGTTCCTACATAACCACACTTTTAAATTTTTTGGGACACTTAAAATAAAAAAGTTAAAGGGGGGCGACTTTATAGGGGATCACCCTGTACAAAGCAACCAGGTAATAGGGACTAGAAAAAGGTAGGCAACCTAGCTGTTACATATTCTGTATGTTGTATGCTTTCCATTGGAATTTCGTTCATTTGGCAAGCAAGTCGGTGAAATTTAAAAAATTAATTATTTTTTTTTAATATTTTATTTATTATAGATAGCCTTGATCATATTTTTTATGGCAACCCTATTGGTTTATGTTCAGAAACATATTTTATTTGATAAAATATAATTTTCATCTGGTAAGCAGATGGGTGAAGGTCGACCTTACTTGGGATCCTCTACTAATATTCTTGCTTTAAAACAACCAATTATTCGATTAAAAAAATAATTTTTTTTATTTAAAAATATATTTTTTTATTTCAATATCTTACTTCGGATTTTTTTTTGTAAAAAAATACATTTTCTTGAATTAGTAGATGAAATTAATGTGTAAATATGTATGAGGCGCCGTTTGTGCCATAATTATGATTTGTAAAATATATAATAATTTCTAAAATAAATATGTATTTTGTTTAAAATATAAATATTTTATCTAAAATATATATATTTTAGCTTATTTTATAACATATATATTAGTTTTACTAAAATATAATAATATTTTTACAAAATAATATATATTTAAAATATTTATATATTTGGACAGTTGAACTAATAATATAATTTTAATACTAATAATATAAACTCAGCTTACAAGACGTAACGCCAGGAGGCGCTGGCTGCTTTATTTAACTTGGCAACGCAGCCTGTCTGTAATTGCATGTCGGAATTACTGTGGTGTAAATTAAATAAAACTAGAAGATACATTAAAAATAATAATACCTCTGGTACGTAATAAAGCACTTGGGTATAAGTTTAAATTAAAATCTAACAGATTAATAGGTCATTTAAAATTTCACCGCAGTAATGGAACCAAATCGACGACATAGTTTTGCGTAGCCCAGAAATAAGGAATAAAAAATTATTGTTTAAAAAGAGAGTCACGACAATAAACATCCAGTTAAACATATAAAAAATAACAAAAAGCCAAAGTGCGGCAAAAAGTTATTTAATTTACACCACTGTAATTCTCACATGAAATGAAAGAAAGTGTGCGTTGCCAAGTTAAATAAAGCTGCCAGCGCCTCCTAGCGTTACGTCTTGTAAGCTTAGTTTATATTATTAGTATTGAGTTTATATTATTAGTATTACTGTTTTAAATATATATTATTTAGTTAAAATATTATATATTTTTAGTAAAACTAATATATATCTTAGAAAATGAGTTAAAATATATATATTTCAAACAAATTATTTATATTAAAAAAAAATATTTATATTTTTACAAATAATTCTATATTTTATAAATCATAATTATGGCACAAACGGCGCCGTCTGTGCCATAATTATGATTTATAAAATATATAATAATTTGTAAAAATATAAATATTTTGTTTAGAATATAAATAATTTGTTTGAAATGTATATATTTGAACTTATTTTCTAAGATATATATTACTTTTACTAAAATATAATATATTTTAGTAAAAGTAATATATATCTTATATTATATATTAACTAAATAATATATATTTAAAACAGTAATACTAATAATATAAACTCAATACTAATAATATAAACTAAGCTTACAAGACGTAACGCCAGGAGGCGCTGGCAGCTTTATTTAATTTGGCAACGCAGTCTTTCTTTCATTTCATGTGAGAATTACAGTGGTGTAAATTAAATAACTTTTTGCCGCACTTTGGCTTTTTGTTATTTATTATATGTTTAACTGGATGTTTATTGTCGTGACTGTCTTTTTAAAACAATTTATTCCTTAATTCTGGGCTACGCAAAACTATGTCGTCGATTTGGTTCCATTACTGCGGTGGAATTTTAAATGACCTATTAATCTGTTAGATTTTAATTTAAACTTATACCCAGGCCCGGTCTGGGACCATTTGGGGCCCTCAGCTAAAACCTCTAAAGGGGCCCTCTACCGGTGGTCTGAGAGGGTATGGAAATTTTTTGAAAATTAGGTGCTTGAAAACGCGTTTTACGCGAAGAATACATTCAGCTAGGTTTTTATACGAATATTATGATTTTCGACTTTTGTTGACTTTATTATTTATTAAAATAAGAAATTCACAGTATTTTTAGGATATCACAACACTAAAAAACACATGCTGTAGAACTGTCAATAATTACAAAGGATTTCAAAATAAAGTGCAGTATTTTATTCACACCAAAGTATAATGAATTATGTCAAAATTAATAATGTAATAAAAATAATGTTATACGGATTTTAGGGATTAGAAAAATAATACTAACATTTTTAAAAAAATCCTGTGTATTTAACAGTTTACAATATTGTTATACTAGAATAGAAGGGGCTTAACTTACCTGGGATGATTCGACATTTTACTTCTCTAGCCCTAAAGTAACAGCTTCTTTGTAAGCAACTCACTTGTTAAAGCTACTTCATCTATTATTTTATTTTTGTCCAAATTATAAAATAAATCCCTTTCAACATTAATAAAAAGCAGACTGGACATAAGGTCTTGGCCTAAAGACGACCGAAGTCGATTTTTGACTATTTTAAGTTTAGAAAAAACT